TCAGAGAGAGTTAAAGCGTGTCTTCTCCCAAGTACGGACATACCAACATCGCGTTGTTGACTCAAAAACGTGCCAACCATAGACGCTAGTTGAGACATCTGCGATTCCATTGACACAAGTCTCTCACCAACCCCCTGCGGTTGTTCGTCCGAAGACTGGTTGGCCGCAGGGTCTTCCCTGTCTGACATAGGAGTAGAGTGATCAAGTCCACCACCGAGGCCCGAAGTCCAGGGACGCAGCTCGGGTACGCACCAGACAGAAGCCCAGAAACCAGTGGGACGCTATAGCGTGTTGGTAAACTCGTGGCTTGTAGAGAGAAGGTTGTTGGATAGTTGAGACTTGGTCTTATTAGTTGGTTTGGAATGGGAGTGGGCGAGGTGAGGGCGTGCAGCACCCCTATCTGCTCGATTGCAATATCCCGACAACCCGATCACGAATCACATCACACTATCCCAATTCCCCGATCACGGGTACTTGTACTCTTCCTACGAGCCACAAATACATCGGAGGAAAGCACAAACCACCAACAGATTGCCCGACAGATACTTAATACGAATGTTCCACAGCGGAACCTGCAGAACCGGAGTAACCTTCCAACGACAGTCCCGCTAGTCAAGGCGTCCAATCAGATATACCCCGCCATTGAGTTGATACACCTGCCGCTACCACGAACCAGATGGGCTTGAGAAAAAAGGTCCACATGTGGAGTTTTGCCCCGCTGATAATGTTCGGGTAGCTTTCGTGACAGAATGGACGCTCGTATTTTTGTCTCATCACTCAAGGACACCCACTCAATGTGTAGGTGTCGTACGCATGAGGGATAGCACTTCCAGCTAGGTTAATGCTTTGGCCGTCCCTCCTACAGCCTGAGCAGTGCTCTCCGCAGTATGTGCTGGCAGGTGCGTTGCGAGGGGGGGTACCACGAGCCACAACACAGGGCTTTTGACCAAACTTGAGCCTCCATTTGCTGCACTCACACTTTCAAGTATTTCCTCCCGAGAAGTTTCACCTGGATAGCACAAGTGCTTGCTTGCGTGGTTGTGTATCACAGCAAATATAGAGATGATCATAGTCACCTTTGCACCCCATCTAGCGCTGGGCACCACACACCTGTGTCGTCAAACATGGCACGTGACACAACCACTGAAGAGCAGCCCCGGGCTTACGAAAACGTCAGAACAACTCGACCAACAGCACGACAAGAAGTGCGCTGCCGCCGGCTTTTCGCAGGGCGAATGGGCTATATCTACCTTACGACAGCTCCCCGAAATACTCTCATGGTAGAAACATCCACTCGCTCACGTCTTAGCTCCCTCGTCCATCCCCAAAACCACACACACCCATAAAACACAACAGCTACGAACGTCACAACTGAAACCTACGGTGCACGAGGTCGAGTGGAACAAAAACGTCTTGGACAAGAATCGTCAAAACAACCCAGGTGTGAATTCTGTAGGCACCGAACGAACGGCGCGAGTCGCAGCTATACATAATACTCTTCAATAAATCCATGATTGTTACAAAAAACACCATGGTTCGAAAATCCATGCAAGTAGTGGAACCGTTAGAAAATTCAAGCAAATAGTGTAAACGTGTAAATCTGTAGACACACGAAACGCACTTCCTCTCAAGCGCGCCTGGCAGGCAGCCGGTAATTTTTAGCAACAGCCCGCCCACAAATTCACACCACACGAATAATAATAGGAGCAAACAGGGAGCAGCAAAACACGAGTAACTCCGCCATACACATATGCAGACCCCGCGCAGCCAGAGCACGCTACAGGAAAATAACGATAAGAGTACAAAACGTTTATACAGTCCCCGGGAAGACGCTCTAGACGAAGAAAACTTGACTGCACAAAGCACGCCATGGGCACCTACCGAAAACAGTCAACACGACTACTATTTAGCAAAGCAGCAAGCGTAATCCAGTATTTGGCATCCACCATGAACAAATCTGTAAGCGTCCAACAAACATAATACAATACCGAACGCTTGCGCCTGGAGCACAGATACGGACGCTTTTACCGGTGAAGCAACCAGCCACTGAAAAAAATCACAAGGACTCGCACAAATACCAAAGATGGACTACGAAAGATACATGCGAACAACACGCACACCCACACCCACAGCACCAAACCGCACGCCCACGCACGTCATGGTTTTTGCTGTCGTTTCTTACTCACGGGTGCTCTTTTCAGCAACAAATCGACAGCCTTTTTGTCCAAGTGCTGAAACCTCATATCGGAAGATGCGACACCCCCTACACCCACAACATCTAACTTCTGTCGTCATCCTCACGTACGCGCGCCCTCACATCAACACGCACCCGCACGAGCCCTGCGCACATGTAACGCCGACGTCGCCCGACCCGGTCCGTTCCGCCTCCGGCGGTCCCGCTCCCCCGTCGCGGCCGTCCCCGACAGGGGGTATACGTACAACAGGGTCGGCGGCCTGTGCGTCCTGGTGGCCGCTATTCTCACAGACTGGGACACCGTTGACGTCGCCGCTGATTTCCGCGGCGGCCTCAGCCTCGGGCTGGCTGGGCGCATTGCTCGGGGAAGGGGGCGGGTTCGCTTTCGCGGGAGAGCAAGCGCCGGCGTCCTCCTCAGGAGCGGTCGAACTCGTCGCTCGTCGCGCCTGCTGGGATCGGGCCGGGGAAGCGGAAACAGAGGTCTGCGCGGCGCCGATGATAGCATGGGTCGGTGAAACGCCCTCGCTGTCCTGGACAACGGGTTGGCCAGCAAGGGCCGGGGTCGAACTTGTGGCCTCCGCGGCCGGCAGCCCGGCGATGCTGCTGACCGGTCCATCCGTGAGTGATCGCAGGGAGCCACAGTCGGAGTCGTCGTTTGCCTCCTTTGTGTCTTGCCGTAAATTCGCGACAGAGGGGGGCGTAACTGCCACGCCGCTGCTGCCACCGGAGGCGCCATCGTCGACATGTCGCCGGGGATGGGGCGGAGTAGCCGTCGGTGGCGCGGATTCCGGCGGCTTACCCTCATCGCCGCCCGCCCGCCTCTCCGGCTCTCCCTCCACCTCCACCTCCTGCTGCCGCTCAGGTTCACTACTGCCGTGTGCCGACCCTGAGTCCATAAGACCGACAGAGGCGAGACTCGGCGGTCGTTCCTCCGCCGTTGCAAGCGCAGGTTCATCCCCGGAGTTTTGAACAAACGCTTCAGCGGCCTTGGCTGGGGAGGCCGGGGCGTTGGCCGGTGGCGAGTTTGCCGTAAACGAAAGCTCGCTCTCGTCTCCGCTGCCCTCCAACACCCACTCAGCTTCGACTTCCCGCGCCAAAGCTTCCCAGTCCAGAGGCACCTCGACCTCCTCCGCCTGCTTCTTGGCCAAGATATCCCAATCGATGGGAGGGGTGGCGCCGTCTGGTTCCGCGGGCGCCACGTCAAGCGTCGCCGTGTTGTTGTCCAGCCGTTCTTGTGTGAAGCTGGAGATGAACCCATCGCTGACATCAGCCGCCGGCTCAACATAGGCGTTGTTCGCCATTTCATTAGGTGCAGCCATTCCATCGGGTGCAGAAGAAGACAAAGCGGCCGGAGCCTCCTCCACAAGGGCTTCGTTGTCAACGATGCTGTTGCCGTGCTCGACCTCCTCGCCCCTGGTTCCCTCGTCACTACGTTCCGTCTCGTCCACCTCCTCCTCCTCCTTCGATTCCTCCTTCGATTCCTCCTCTTCACCCATTTCCACATCGCCCTCTCGGTCACTTGGTAGGTCAGGAGAAACTGCGGACTTGACGTCATCGATACGAGTTCCCGCAGCGAGGTGCTCCTCATCGACCGTCAAATGTTCCGCAACGTCACCCTCTCCGTTCTGCCCGCCCCCCTGCTTCTCCTCTGTCTCAAGTTCCTGGTTTTCCGCACGAATAACACTTTCAAGCCCAACGTCGTGTTCCGCGCCCTCTTCCGCCATCGCCTTCTCCACAACGCCCCTGGCCCCTTCGTATACCACCGATGTCGCTGCCTCCAGAACCTGTTCGTCGCTGGCCCGCACACCGGTGAATCCTTCCCTCGCCTCCACAGCGAATGTAGCACAATTACCGGTGCCGGCGCCGGCACGAGCTTCGCTCGTATCCTCTTGGCCACTCTCACCCTTGTCTTCTCCTCTAGCATTCGGAAGAGCACCGTCGTTTCCATCTACGAGGGCCACCTCCACCTCCGACCCCCTCACATTGCGTGCGGCTTCATCCCCCCCTTGACCCCCCGCACCCTCTCGCGCAGAAGTTTCACCACAGGTGCCACTAGGTGCTACAATGATCCTCTCCCAGACGTGCGAACCCCTCTCGTTTACATCCACTGCCGCGACACCTTCCCTGCCGCTTGCCCCGGCATTCACTCCCCCAACAGCAGAGGTCTCCCCCGTCGTCAAGACAGTGGATACCTCACCCGTTTCGGCCTTGACCGGGCTCCTACCAGCCGAGTCGATACCGACAGCCGCTCGCCCGGGCGAACCATCGTCGCGGTTAAAACCTTGGATGTCCGCCAGTTGAGGTAACGGCACTTCTTCTTGGCGGGCTTCTTCCGGAGATGCCTCAGCCTCTGATCCGACGCCAACCGCGAATGTCTCGCAATCCGCGCCTGCTGCGTCGACCGGGTGAAAGGCGGGCTCAGTGCCGCTCTCATGTTTGGCCTCGTCCTCCGAAGTCGACCCAGGAGTGATCGCGGTTGCTCGCGTGGTTTCGGACAGACTGCCCAACCTCTCCTGTTTATGAACGATACCCGGGAGATTTGGTTCTTCCCCTGCCCCGGAGGTTGCCCGAGGATCCCCGCCCCCTTCCGCCTCCGCTTGCATCTTCCCGCTGGTTTCAGCACCGATCTCGCCCCGCGCACAAGGCGCCACCCCAGAGATGCACGCATTATTCGTGTCCATGTTCTTCACCGTCCTGTCTTGACCGCCCTGGTCAACGATAGTGCTGCTACCGGCGGCGGCGTCGCACACGCTTGGGCTCTCTGAGAAGGCAACAATGTCCACCAATGTGCCTCGCGTTTCGGAGCCAACGAAGACAGTGAGAGCATCGTCAATGGCCGCAGGGGCAGTGTCAGCAGCGACGGCGGCGGCCGATTCCTCTTCGTTACCAACCGTCGAGCTTACACAAACTTCTGTTTCGGGAGATGAGGGCAGTCCACCCGGTAGCTCTGGCCTTTGCGCTGTGTCATTTTGTGTACTCCGGCGACCGTCGTAACTTTCATCGCTGTTTGTGCTATCGTTGGTGCCATCGTTGCCACTAGCGACAGTAGCGGCAGCCGGCTCCCCTTCGTCAACAACCATCGAGGATGCACAAACTGCCGCTGTTTCGGGAGATGAGGGCTGTCCACCCGACGACGATTGCGTCAGCGGCTCGTCTCCTTCGACCCTGTGGTGAATTTCGCAGCTGTCGACGTTGTTGGAGCTGTGGATGCCGTCGTTGCCGCTGGTAGCAGCAGCAGCAATAGCTGTCGTTTCCTCCCCGTCGCAAACCATCGAGGATCCGCAAACGTCTCCTGTTTTGGGAGACGAGGGCTGTCCACCCGGCCGCTCGTGCCTTTGCGGTTCGCTTCGATCGACTGCGTGGTGACTGTCGTAGGTCTCATGGCAGTTGGTGCTGCCGTTAGCGCTGTTACTGGCATCGTTGCTATCGTCGGAAATACATTGTGGAACTCCTTCTTGGGCGCGAGAGCCGACGGGTGGTCCCTTTGAGTTGCCTGGTGTAGTTTCTGGGGCATCTGGGGTCTCAACCGTGGCGGACTTGTCACAACCCGCTGCAGCCTGCTCCTCCTGCTCCAAGCATTCCCCTGCCTCGACCCCGAATACAGCCTGTGAGCCAGAGGTCTGGCGGCGACGGGTTTTTAATACAGGTGCAACAACGAAAAACGGTAAATACAGCGCCGGTGAGCAAAGCTGCAGCGACGGGGATGTCGAAACTTACCGGGCCCCAGTTGAACAGAAACGACATGCGGTTGGATGCAGTGGCTGGCAACATGGGGGTAGCCGCCTTCTAATATGCCTATCCCTAAAAGTACCGATGTACCCCCATAGGAAAGAGCCGGTGGAAGCAATTTTGTAGTGCTGCACACGGTACGAGCGTACACGGACGTATTCGAGAAACAAGCAGACGTCGACCCAACGCAACGGCCCCTTACATTGAAATGAAAACTCGAAATGATGGCCCGATCTCCGCCATCGTCATCATCTCTTTCTGCTCCTGGAAGCGGGCAAGCGACCCCCGCTCCGTCTTTTTCCAAGCTGTTGCTCGAACCGTTCCCCATATCGTCGTCACCACCACCCCTGTCGACGTCTGCGCCACCTGCACCGTCACCGTTACCGATGCTGACGCCACATTCTCTCTCCGCGCCAGACGTCGAGAGCAGCCCGTCGATCTTCAGCGCTACCCCAGAGGGGAGGACAAGGCACTGATCGAGAGTCGGCCCCCCGTCTGCTCCCGGTTCACGTTGTTGCCGTTTCTCGCCGGCCATCAACGGCTTGAACGGCAGGAGGGAGGTCGGCGGGACCGGCGCGCTCGCTCGCCTCGGCCGAGGGCTCACGCTGGAAGAAGTCGTCTCGATAACCATCGGTTGGTAGGGGGAGAAGCTGAAGTCGGCGCTACTTTTCCGCCCTCGGCGCCCGCTAGCTGACCGCCGTCGCTTGCTGCTGGAGGACGATGGTACGGACGGTTCGGCGCGAGGCCGCCCAGCTGTAGCAGCGCCACCTGCGGAGAGCTGGTGGCGACGAAGGCCGTACAAATGGCACGCATGCAAACACCGGGTGTGGTTTTGGTTTCAAGCGAATGGCATTTGTGAGCCGACTTCGATGTGTGAATCATCGACCACTGCGGCAGTCGGAAAACTTGAAAAAGGCAAGACACCCGTGCAACGGTGTGCAAGTAAGAACGGAGTGGCGCCTCGACGATACTACCTCCACCGCATTCACAAGTAACGACTTTATTGCCACGTTCCAGCTCAAACAGTGGCCCGGAGCCACCGATGGTAGCATGCAAGCTTACGCCCGCAGCGGCGGTTAAATATACATTTCAAAGAGGCGCCGAAATCAAGTTAAATCATGCCGTTGTTGAACTTGTTATGATCTTTTTTATACCCCAGCGCGATTTCTCCCATGGACACGAAAACTCCGACGGTTGTGCATGACTATGGCGTGCTTACAGTGTGCCCAAATGGGATGAGTTTCACAGCACACAGAGGTATCGGAGGATGTCGAGACTCGTAAGAAAGTGCCGGTATAGGCACAGCCATCACACCGACGCGGCAGGTTCGCTCCCAAGGAAGGGCAGTACGCAGATGGAACCAACTATGGAACACACAGCCCGACTGCTTGGTACGACCACCGCAGTGGCTGCGAGGAGCAAGCCATGTGCCCAAGACAGCCGCTACTTCTTGGGTAGAAGAAAAAAAAAAATGGAAGCAAGGGTTTCTTCGTGTGGTTGGCCGGAACTCATCTTTACTGGGTACTGTACCGGGAAACGCTTACGCATGCGCCGCTTGTCATGGCAACATATATACTTCCTCTGTATCATAAGTTAGGGTACCTAAATTTGTACGGGCCCTTAACCGTGTCCGATCTGTTTTTCGATTTTTTTGTTGAAATCTTCGTAGTTTTTTTAGCAAGAAACATTTATTTTTATTTTCATGCATGCGCCACCCCGCGTGCATGAGCGCCCGAGACAAAACCAGTCGGCCTGAAAAAGGCCGTATTTTGCATGTATTCTGCCCCCTTCGACCAGGCGACCAGGCGGGGGGGGCGGGGCAATGACAAAAACAAGGCAAAAATACCAAGAATTATCCCTGACCCTAAACCTAGCCTCCCCTCTACTCAACGATCCATGACGCGTCCCCCATACTAAAAGCAGCATAATAGTGGCCCCCACACTGAAAACAAGACACTTGGGGGGACCACACTAAAACCAAGACACTTGCGGGGCAAAGCAAGCAACAGTAGGGCCCTCATCCAACCCCCCCCTCTACTCAACGATCCATGTCGCGCCTCCTATAATAAAAGCAGTATAGTAGTGAGCCACACTAAAACCAAGACACTTGGGGGTCACACACTAAAATCAAGACAATTGGACGGGTACTTCTTTCCGACACCGTACGTTGTAGCGTTCGCAGATCGGGTCAAACACGCCCTTGGGAATCGTTGACAACCCCGGCTGAATGCCCATCGCCATTTCTACCGCCATGGCATAGCGCCTACCAACCGATAACTCGGTGCCCCTTTTGCGAGGTGGTGTGCTGGGGGGCGATTCCATCGCTAGAGTGAGTAGTGGGCCGGTAGGGTACTAATATCAGATGGTTTTGAGATTTTTTTCGAGAATTCTCAAAAACAATCCCATAATATTTTCTCAAAAATATTCCCAAAACAGGCCAAAATAGGGTATATTTTGACCGATATTAGGTACAGAGATAGATGTTCGTTTTTTTATTTTATTTTTTCTATCGCTTCTTCTTTGTTATATCTTTCTTACAAACCCGACTATGCTACCATCACTAACACGGTTGCACCCACACAATCTATTGCATTTAGGTACCATAACTTATGATACAGAGGAAGTATATATACTTCGAAGTACAATGTATGACGGATTTTTTTTGGCATATGGTAGTTCGGGTGTGATCTGTAGGAAAATCGCAGAAAAATGACAACATATGGGTCGACGATCGAGCAGTCCCCTACAGGAGTGCATCTGCTCCCATGCTGGTCGCCACCACTCTGGTGGCACGGTGGACACCGACCGACCGTGAGGACAACGCAGCAATGTCAACAGGCGCCGGTCGATGCCGAGAACAAGAAGGATGTTGCCGATCGGGTGATGAGGCACTAACGTCGTTTTAGTTTGTGTCGTTGGCGACTGCTGCACGTAGCGTGCTTATCGTTGTCACGATACGGGCTTTACCCTATCGTTCCTTGTCACAGCAACACTGTTGTTTCTTTTGCTCACTCTTTTCGATATTCATGTTGATGTCGTGCTGATCATATCACTTGGGGTGTTGCCATAGTCCCAGGTCTACTCCTTGTGCCTCACGTGTTGTTATAGTCAACCTTGCTGCATGTAGTGTTGGTTTTATCGTTCGACGATACAGGCTTTTATCCTATCGTTCCTTGTCATGTACTAGCAACACCGTTATTTCTTTGCTTACTCATTTGTTATTAGTGTTGATACCATGCTGCTACCCTTTGGGGTTTTGCTATTGCCCAAGTCTACTCCTTGCGCCTCGGGTATTAGTCAAATCATGGTCTTGCGACTCATCGAGTGAGTGGTGTGGGAAGGTGACTATTGTACTTCGGAGTTCCACATCGTCGATCCTCTCAATCTGGGATCTGGCATTTGTCAAGATCCCGGGAGTTTTCATACGTATCTGCATATGAGAATGTTCATGGCGGACTACTGTTGTGGGATTTGAGTGACGGGGTATCAACAATATTTCGTGTTAGAATCCCCAAAAAAATTGCGAGCGAAATATTCTTATTTCCCGATTGAAGGATACAGCAGGGGACAGAGCCATTCAAGCAGTGACCCCTTGGGGTGGATCACAACCCCATTCAGCTCCGATCTGATAGCAAGGCACAGCCAGCACCCCGCAAGAGATTATCAAGGTGGGTCCATCATCACGGTCTCTTCCAGATTGTACAGCGCTTTGCCAACCCCCTATATACTCGATGGTGTTTTCGCCAGTCGATCCGTGTCCGCTCGGCGATACCTCTTGTTGTGGTGACGCGAGTTGGTTGTGCTGTCCTCTCCGACCAAAGCAGTTGAGCCAACAAAACACAGCCAAAGATGCATCACATAGCACAGAGCGCAGCCGCCGCGCCCATGTACTCTCTTGCGGGCTCATCTAGCAGGAATTCTCCATCATTAAGTGCTATGTTAAATGGGCACATACCGACTTGTCTCCGGCCGTGGTCGTTGCCTATTCGTGAGCCCCTACGTTCCCGTCGAACGGTTGCATGTAATATCGAGAGGCAAGGACGCCTTGCATGTCAGGGACAATTGAGCCCTTTCGCGTATTCAACACGAATCCCGGTACGCATTATCTTTTTTCTCCGACTTCCCCGGCATTTCCATTTTCAATGGTTTATCCAATTTGTTGTGTCCCCTCCCGTCGACAAACACAACATCTCCGCCGGAAAACACAACAGATAATCGTGTGGCAACTGCTGTGCTGTTTGTCACGGCACATTTCCTAGTACATGTGTCTCTGTTGGGGGGGGGGCGGGGGGTGTACTCATAGTCGTGCATGCCTTAGTCGTTAGACCATTAGACCATTGACCTCGCATCCCTACAAAGCCGGGACGGAGCACGCCGGGTTCTCACCGGACCACGCTCTCACATCACCAAGCGCGAAGCGCCGTGAGATATTCGGCGAGTCGCATGAAGGGTGCGCTGCATCCTGCTAAGGGT